GGCCTAGATGGACTTCTCACTTGCCTCTGGATCTTCACCAGGGTGAAGCCAAATCAGCGTGTTTGTGACTCGCGACACTTGTAAACATAATTATGGTTAACATTTTTGATTTTTTTAATTTGGCCATGTCTACATTGAGAACATTGTCTGAAAAGTTAATTAATGGCAGGGTGTGTGCTTCCTTCTTGGCTAAGGAGTGGGTACTTATGGTGAGTTGAATGATGCCTTCGCCAGGGCCTACAATCGAATTGTGGGTGCAGTTGGCAAGGGGTCTTTTCAAATGCAAGTGCTGGGCAAGTTTCCCCTTGTCTTGACAACACAGTCTGTCAAAGACATTGCAATTGCCTTCGGCTTTGATGAATCACTCTTGATCCCACCTGCCAACAAGAGGACAAGGGCACAACAAGCCATTGCCAATACTCAGCACATTGGCTTGATGCTTCGTCAAGGGCATGCTGCCCAAGTTGGTGCACAGCAGCAGCATGGACTGGCACCTGAAGTGAGGGCAAGCCCAGCTGCCCCAGTACCACCAACACCAGTGCCAGCACAGGTGGCAGTGCCAGTGACACCAGGCAATGGGCAGCAAGTGATCTATGAAGTGCAGCCACCCCAGACACCAGTGCCAAATCGAAGGCGGTTGCCACCAGTTGTCCCGCTCCGCTTGCTCTTACATTTGAGCCTGTTGCTCCTGGCACACCAAACCCAGTTGCCATTGGCACTCCTGCTGTCCCTGGAACACCGCTTGTGTCACCAGCTGCCATGCCTGCTCCAGATGCCAGTACTCGCAGCTGGGCCAGTTGCCAGTGCTCAAGCCAGTGCAGCTGCAAGCATTGCTCCAGCTGCCAGTGCTCCAGATACAGGTGCCAATGGTTTGCCAGTTGCTGCTTCAGCTGCTGCCCCCGGGGACATTGGGGATTCAAATGCTGCAGAGCCACCAGCAGCCAATGACCAAGTGCAAGCTGAGAGTAGACAAGCGGATAATGAAAGTCGTCTTTTGCGTGTCATTTGCCAATCGCACATGGTTTCCACTCCTATTGCTTGAGAGAGTGGCGTCGAGTGGCCCAGATTGAGAATCTTCACAAGTGCCCAGTGCCCATTGCATCCGCAGTCCACACCTGAACCTGCCCAACAAGGTGCAGCTGGAGATGACACTGAAGGCTTTGAGCCTGATTGATAGAGAAAATGTTCCAGCTCCTGTGGCGGTTGTTCCCACCTTGGGCCCTGAGCTTTTGTGAAAGCTCTGTGAGAGAGCATTTGCCCATTTGATTTAGCCACTTGTCACAGCTGCCATCATTAATTTTGATGCAGGCACTTGCAGGAACAAGTTTGTTGAACGCAATGAAAAGCAATTGCCAGTAAAAGTTTGTGGAATGTCTGTTTTCTGTGCCTTGCAGGGGTTTAGTTTTGGCAATGGGGTTGCCCCCGTTGTAGTACAGCTGAAATGCTGTGAGTCAACTTTCTCATGTGATCGCTGGTGCTTTGTGATGGTCTTGGCACCTGGGCTTGAGATCAATGCAACAAAAACAAATGGTCTGACATTTCTTTTCCAGCAAGCATCACCACTTAAGTTTCTCACGTGTATTTGGCTTGGGCCTGTTGCCTGGCAGGATTGGACTTCATGTCACCTGGTGTGAAAATCTCAGCTTCAGCAGTCAGCACATCTTCATGTGTTTGATGTGGTGTTTGGCAAGGTTATTCAACAATTGCCATTGCAAGTTTTATTGGGCTTACCAGTTATGTTTGACATGCATGATGCCATGCAGTTATTAAAACATCCACAAAATTGAAAGGAAACTTGTGCTGCCAGTCTAGTTGGCAGTTCTTACTTGATTGACACTTGTGCCACTTGAGATGGCCAATGAGCCAGCATCACCATTGCCCTTGGCCCATCTTGCAGCCAACAGTGCGGCACTGCTGGTCTTTGATGAGTGGAATGATTTCTTCCCAAGTCCAGTTGGCTACAGCATCAATGGTGAGCAACAAGTGTATTGGAATATTGCATACACCTTCCACAAGTTTCAGCAGGAGGGAAAGTCAGAGAACACCCCGCTGCGCGAATTCATGTCTCAAATGCGTTCAGTGGCAACATCATACAGCTTCTTGGGAAGTTCTTCCATTCACATCTTGAACAACACACACACAGGCCCTGGATAGCTTGCTTTGGCTTTCCAAATTGGTTTTCATGTTTGCCAAAAAAAGAAAACACCCTTTTCAGCCAGCCCCTCACAGGCCAGGTGTTCTTCAGGCAAATTTGGCCACAACAGCACTTGTCTTCCATGTTCATGATGGACATTGTGGAAATTTCCAGGACATCTGAGAAATCTTCACTTGAAAGAGGTGGACAAGGAATCTAGGACAATTGGTTTGCAGAACCATCCTCGAAACTGGCATGGAGCCCTCCATTCAGGTCTGGAGAAACCAGTGCCTTGTGCTCACTCCATCAGGGATGATCAATGGCTTGGACTACATCATCTCCAGTGCTCATCGGACAGTGGCACTTGCTCTGAAGGACGAATGGCAGAACATGGTCAGAGCCAATTTGTTGTTCACCCAGTGGGATGCCCCATCTTTCATCGATGTGTTGATGTTTGCATGCTCTTTGGCAAGGTTCCGAAAAGAGAGCAACAAGAAGTCATTGAAGTCTGGCATCATCAAGAACCTCAAGGTTGCCTTGATGTCCTTCATGAGCAACATGTTGCACTCTTACATGTGGAATATCTATGCCATGCCAGATCCCATGACATTTACAATGGTGAAATTCCATCAAGGCGGAAATTTCTCAGGAAGAGGCAAGGTTGGAGGAATTACATGATTCAGGTTCATGTAGATTTCGTTCAATTTTATTCAAATGGTTGCTGGTGGTTAGTTAGTTCTTGCACTCTTTCTTCATTGTTGCAAGGAAATTTTCTGATGACTCACTTGACCATGATGCTGGTGATGGCACCCCGGGTTCGAATCCTTCCTCGGCATCCAGTTATATGACGATCTCTCGAATGTCCTTGCCCCAGAACTGGAAGTTTGTTGAAGAGGCACATGTCAAGTCTACATCACTTTGCAAACTTGCAAAAGTCAGGAAAACGGATAAGACTCCAGGTGCCCAGGAGAGATGCATGTCAGTTTGGCAATCAAAGATGCTCACTCTCTACAAGTCAAGGGCAGAGCTTGCCTTCCGCTTCTTGAATCACTTCTGCGTGGTCAAAGGACAGCAGTTGCCATGGCTGCAAAGACACACTGATATCGTTGTTCTACAGTCCTGTCCTGGACAACTGCGCCTTTGCCACTTGCCAGTTCATGAAGCCAGGCAAAGTCATTCAGCCATTTGACGTAGATCTTGAAGATCATATTGAATATCTTGCAGCCCGGCGGGAAGTCACAAGGCTTCATGCCTACCGCTTCATGCAAGCAATTTCGAACCAAGTGTCCCAAATGACAAGTGGCAAGTTCTGCCTTTCTTCGTTCAAACCTCCCCGTGGCATATGCCTGGAGCCACTGTCACCAGGAGATTCATTCGAGCACATCACCAGCAGCACTGGAGGGGTGGCTCACTTGAAACACAAGACACTGCTTGCTGCAATGGGACACCAGTGCTGACACTTGTGATGGACCAGGGGCCAACAGGGATGGCAGCCATGGGCTACCTGCATTCACTTGGTGTCCTAGTGCGCTGCTAATTTGACAAGGTGCACAGGTGCGTGCGAGACTTGAAGTTGGCATCACACCATGCAAGTGGCAACTTCAACCAGACCACATTGATGACCAGCTTTGTCTGGTCCCTCAATTACAAGCCGTTCAAGAGTGGCGCATGGTTTGAAGAAACAAACTGTGCTTTGAATTCTTTCCTGGCAAGTGAAACAAGTGTCCCTGAGCTGGGTTCATGGCACCATTTTTGGCACAGGGGGCTGCTGGTTTCTTTGCTTGGCCTGGTTTGTTGTTGTTGTATTTGCTTCGTGTCACTGGAATCTCGACTGACCAGTTGGAGAATCAAAGAAACGGTGGTGAAGCAATCTATATAGATGGTTCAGCTGGCATGATGCTGCCATGATTTCTCAGCAGAAGCAAATCAGGGAAAACAACAAAGAAATGGGTGGGCAAACAAAGATCAGTCAAACACCGAGGTCCATCTGAACTCACTCGGTCAATCGCATGTTTTGTCTCGACCCAAGGCGCCTGCGATCAGTGCGTGTCTGTACAACATGCGGCAACATGATCAACAACTGAAGGAAATGTCATGACTCATTGTCAAATGATTCTTGGTTCATCAGCCCCTAAAACTGAAAGTTTCCTTCAGTTCGTGAAGAAGATTTCATGCGATGCTGGGATTGTCTTCCGCGTTCCAGCACCTCTTCTTCCTCCTCAATCATATATGCGTGATTTTTCCAAAATCTGAGCATGGGTTCGACATGGGCATTCTCAACTTTCGTCAGTGAATCTGCAGGATTGACATTATGCGGAACCCATCGTGGACGTGTTTTGGTCACGGCTAGGCTTTCCTTGATTATGGCAATCTCTAATGCAGCACGATCGTCATCTCCATTCGACTGATCCGAATTCAAACTATCAAACAAGGCCTTAGCATCTACAATGGCTGTTCCCTGAGGGTCGGAAAAAGCTCGCACTTCTGATGCTATGACCTTTGTCTTTCCAAAGGTTTCCAAGATTTCATCTTCACTGCGCTGTTTGGTTCTTGGATTAAAATTGGAAAAACGGATGCTTTCCATGAAGGCAACCATTCTCTCCATTGCTCCAGTTGCCGCAGACATGCAAATGGCTTCACACAGCAAGGACGATGATGCCTTCCTTCTCAAGCGTTTTGATTTCCACTGCATAAGGCTTACCGGGGCAGTCTGGCCTTGATTCAACCCAGGTGTTGTGAAGCCTAAGAGATAGCCAAATTGGGATTTCTCTTTTCCTGACGTGTCGAAAGCAGAATCGGCAATCAAAACATGACGCAGCTGTGATTCAGGAATAGCATGAATTCGCAAAACCACTGGAAATGTTTTCTAATGTCTCACAGTCTCATTGGCGGCCATGATGTGAGACACTTTGGGATCTGGAAACGAGGAAGCAATCACAGAGGCACTTGCTGATGCATCAGGCCTTCCTTCTCTTGAAACCCAATTGAGAGATGCCGCAAGTCCTCTAAGTTGAGTCTTCTCGTTTTCTGTCAAAAGAACCTTGTCAGCATCTTTCTTCAGCACTCGGCGGTTCATTTTCACAGGTTCCAAACGTGTGTAAATAAACTCTTCCATGTGCGTTTCAAAGCTGAAATCCTTGAGCTGGTTCAGAAAACGTCCAGCATAACTCGCTCCCGTCGTTTCATAGAGATCCTCTATTTTGCCGAACTTAAGCAACGACTCCATGGTTTTCATTTTTGCTTCATGTCGTGAACCTCCTGCCTCAATGATATCATCAACTTCAATGACCATATACCCTTCAGTGGTTGCTCCAGGGCTAGGATCCAGTGAAGGCAACGTCAACACACACTTGTCATAGGTGTTCACTGAATAGCCAAGCTTTTCCGTGGCCACTTTGAGAAGGGATCGTCGCCACCATGATGGGCCTGATACCAAGCCGTAGATTTCAGTTAGAAGTAAGACTAGCTGCTCAGGATGGAGTCCTGGCAGACCCTCGTCTTTGGGTTGTTTGAGGGCTAACGGCTTGGATCTTGTAGTGGGTAGGCTTTGCAAGAATGCGGTTTTGACATCCTTGACTCGTGTCTTCCACTTTCTCGAGGCACTCAACTGTAAGCAGCAATGGATGGAAGTTGATAATGGAGTGGGAGATGATCTTTCCACTCCCATGATTTGAGGATCGCGCCAGCCAATTGCACAGAGCCGACTTTTTGGATTCTTCTGATCCATTTCCAGCTTGAAGACTTCGAGTTGGCCTTGTTCAATGGCTGTTTGTTTGCAGTCTTCCAGCATTTTCAAGTCAACTTCTTTGGGCTTGAAACGATCTACAAACTTGGACTCGATGATTTGGTCCGGAGTCAATCTCAAAAATTCACGGCTTTCCTCCACACTCAAAATCTTGACAGCATTGTTGGCAAGCAAACTATCAATTTCCTTTTTCCTAGAGGCTCGAAAAAGGTTTTTGTCTTCTTCAGAAAGTTTGGAAAATTCCACCTGGCCAAAGGACGACTTCAACTTGGTGACAAACATGCAGCGATCTCTATAGCTATAGCTGGCTTCAGCAGCTTTGGCCGTAAATGCATGGATACATTCACTCAACTGCTGTGGCAATGTTCTGCGCTGCTCACGGTCGTATTTCCAAGTGACTCCAATGACCTTATCGTGGGATCCCAAACTTTCACGATCATCATCCCTGTCAAAATTCTTAACTTCAACGTAGTGTGTGTTTCCAGGGGGTGATGGCAATAACGGAGGTGCTCTGGAAAACGGATGTGGAAATGCTTGAGCTCGCCGGTTATCGTGCATGGGGCCAAAATGGAAAGGTTCATGCCTTCCTTCATCGATCCTAACGGGCCCCCCTGGCGGTGGAGCACTTGCCGCGGCTGAGGAACTCAGGTTCTCGGGAGGCATGACCTCAGTCTCCATGGGAGATGCTGCATCACTATCTTCTTTTGGCGGCTCCACAAAACTCACACGGCGGCTAGGTTCAGCATCGCTTGACAATTTGCTTGGTCTTCTGCTCATTTGTTGCGACTCATCTAGTGTGGCATCAACTGGTACTTGAGTGCTTGCCTCCTGGTTCGTGGCAGTTTCATCTTCGTCATTGTCAGGTTCAGGCTGACCTCCTGGAGCTTGAGGGTCTTGCATTCGGAAGACTCTCATCAGGGTCTCTTCTTGGAAATCCTCCTCATTGGGAATTTGCTCAGCCGATACATCTTGGTAGGCGATCTGTCCAGGAGATTTCAATTTGGTCAGCATCTCTTGAGACATTTCGACCACTAACTCGGCTCCCAATTGTTCTTCAGGTGTGGCATGACGAAGTTGTTCAAGAGAGACTTGCCAAAGACGACCACGAACTGAGACCCACCAGCCAGACTGGCTCGGTGTTTCGGCCAGCAGCACTCCAGGGCCTGCCCAACCCTTAAAGGATGGGGTGTTTCGGAAGATATAGACCCATTGTCCTTGTTGAAATGCCTTCTGATCTGATTGTCGAGCACTCGCCCGGAGACTTCGTTGTATAGCCTCTTTGTCTTGTCGTCGCAACCACTCTTGAGCAGCGATTTCTCTGATTTTCCACTGACGTTGAATGGGATCAGAAGCAGTTACCTCAACCAGCTCATGGTTCAAGACATCTGAGGTCAGCATGCTGGCCGGCATTCTTAATGTCTTGCCAAACACCCTCTGCATAGGTGAGAAACCAAAACGGTCCATGTATTGGTTTCGGCATGTAACTACTTCAGCAGTCACCAACGGCACTTCATCAAGAGTTGCCGAAGCCGCTGCCATCACTGCCTTGAACTTCTCCTTGAACATTCCTCCGGCTTTCTCTGTGCGGCTGTTTTGCCAAGGCGACTGACTGCTCGTGAAATGAATGGCCGTTCCAAGGCCGGAGACCATTTCTTGAAATCGTCGGCCCGTGAATTCGGGACCACGGTCGGCAATCAGCAGCACAGGTGAGCCATAGTGCTTGACCCATTCGTTCATGAATACTTGTTGAACTTCTTCGGCTGTTTTTCCAGGGCAAAGGGCTACTTGTTGAAAGTTCGTTCCCCAATCCAGGATGTTCACAAACGTCAGTAGTGTGTTTTGAACTTCAATGAACAGGAGATCTACCCCGACGACCTGCCCAAACTCCAAGGCTCTCATCAGATGACCTGGTCGCTGAGGGCTGGGTCGTTCACGTGTTTTGCAAGCTGGGCATTGGAAGTGGTGTTTCGCCCAATCCAGGATGTCTGGACGGACCCCTGCATGTCGAAGCGCTCGTACAAACACATCATGCCCAGGGTGTCCAAGGTTTCGGTGAATTTTGTGCACTTCCCTCCTCAGTTGAGGTGCCAGCGAGAACGTGCCTTCATCAGTTTTTCGAAAGTCCTCAATGCGAGTCATTGCTTCTTGGACCTTGGGATTTTCGCCAACACTTCTTAGTTGCTGACGAACTTCATCTTCTGCAGATCGTTCTTCTGGTTCCGGTGGATCGATCTCTTGTTCAAGGGCTTGTTCAAAAGGGTCCAGTGACTCATCTTCATGAGAGTGCGGCTGCATCGCTGGATAGTGGTTCGTACTCTTGACCTGAGGTTTCTTGACAGCATCCTGGAGTTTCTTCAATGAGGTCAAACTTTGAAGCGTGGAAGATGAAGTGGACTGCCTAGAACTCAAGGCCATATGCCATAGGTCTCGACGGACAGGTCAATGTAGAGCTCTTCAGTGGCGGGGATCTGGCCATGGAGTGTGCGCCACCAGACTCCATCGTTAGGCGCTCAGATTCACCCGCAGTTTCCGCCTCCACCTCCTCCTCAACGAGTCTGGTTAAGGTCGCAAATTGATGAAGGATGGATCCCAGAGCTCGGCCGACCTTTCTGCCTGGGGCCTTCTTGTCTTTGGACTCCACTTTGAAGCCCAGGGCCTCTTTGATCCCGCAAACAACTGATTGTACAAACTGAGGTGTGTATGTTGCAGCAAATTTCGCTACACCACCCAAAAGTCTGCCATGCTTGTGGTCTTTGGTGCAACGGTGATTGACGTAATCCATGATTTCCGGAACATTAGACATGAGACCGGAGGCTTTACGGCTTAACATGTCCATGTCGGGTCCCTTGGCAATTCTAAGACCAAAGGTACACATGTCGGCGATGATAACAAACACCCCAGGTGTGGTCAGGATTTTCTGGATTCGACGATGTTTCCATGATGATGCTGGCCGTGGCTGTTCAAACAAGAAACCCCTGCCTTCTTGCATCTGATGTTCCATGACATCTGCAGAAAATTCCAAATGGCTTTCACCTTCATTGTTTTCTTGCTCAACTATTTGGAGATTGCGTTTGAAATTCGACAAAAACCTCAAAGGAGAGAATGTCTTGCAAGGGGGACAAATTATGATCACTGCCGGCTTATGTTTAGCGATGAGGTGCCACGCTGAGTTGCGGTCGGATTCCTTGGTAAAATCCCAGCCTGTCGTCAGGTCCATTGATAATGACGCTCCCAGGCCGGCCTTCTTAGCTGATGGAACTACTCGAGGCGGGCTGTACAGCTCAGCACAGTGATCTAAATAGTTTTTCAATGATCCGACCAAAATGGTTCGGTCACTTCTGTTCAAGCATCTTGGAACTCCATCAAAGTCACTGCAACTAAGTTCCATGGTGCTTCTTGTCAAAAGTATTTCGCTCTGTGTCAATAGTTCAGGAAAAACCGTAAAATCATCTTGTTTTGAGGACTCTACCATCTTACCCAAACTTTGCAAAAAAGAATCGTCTCGATTCGATGGTGAAACAAAAACGCTAGCATAGATCAAGACAGACAGCACTGCGGTGGCACCCGCTCCTCTAACCAAAGCCGTTGATTGAGGATTCATAGTTTTGGTGTTGATGCCATCCTTCAACTCATCTGCCTTGAACGTCACGTGGCGGGTGACATCGGTTGATTTTGCTGAGTAGTCACTGGGCTCCATGACTCCCCTTCGCTTGAGTGGATCTCGAAGGCTTCCGTGGCTGTCATCTCTCCATTGAATGATGGTGTCCGCTGACGGGCTCTTTCCTGAGTTGCTCTCACACCTGCCGACGCGGATCTGCGGCGAGAGTTGGTCAGTTCGGACTTGACTTTCACTAGCTTGGTCTCCGTCTCTTCTGTCTTCGGAGGGCCTGTCTTGCCCTTGCTTTTGCCCTTCATCATCTCGGCCTTGATGGTTCTCACGATGCTGGTCCCAGGAGGTGTCACTTGTTGCTCCACTAGTTCCAAGTGAGAAAGATCTGGCCGATACCTTGGTGCTGGGAGAATTTGAGGAGATGCCGAGCCTTTTGGCTGATTCAGCTTGGCGTTCTCCATAACGTCGGCTGCACTTTCCAAACGCTCCCAACGAGCGCCACAAGCCAGACAAGTCCACCAGTGATGCCCTCCTCCCGCACGTTGGCGAAGCTGGTCCTCCTCGTGTGGGCATTTGGAAGGTTCGAACCGCCATGTTTTCCAGGCGGTGGATCGAGTCAGAGGTCGCCCGATCCCTCGCCTCACTTTGTTCTGGTTCTTGCCCTTGACCTTGGCTGACACTCGCTGAGCTAGGCGCTCTTGATCTTGGAGCATCAGTTCTGCATTGCGATTCGTGAGGTAGTGCACCACATGTTCCTGGTTGGCATGGATGATCATGTTCAAAATGATCAGGGTCATTCTTTTCCACGCATCGCAACGTTTCTGGCTGGACATTTGGGAAGGTTTCTTCTCGTAGCTTTGGTCGGTCTCTTGGTCTTCTTTGGAGATCCATGACGTGATCCGAGCTCGCATCTTGAAACGTGGGTTGCGAAACTCGAGACTCAAAAGGTTTGGCTAGCATGCTATGTGGTTCATGACCTTGTTGCATCAGCGGCGAAATACAACGTAATTGGCTAGAACCCTTCTGCTGCAAACTGTGTGGATCGCACTCTGCAAATTCATCAAACCCCATGGCATCTTGAAACACATCTTCACCCAACTTCATGGCTCCTTCAGGGTTGCGCGCCTGGTTGGGAGGTCGTTGATCGCCAAAAATGCCCGGTCGGGCCTCAGAAATTTCAAAAACCACTTCGCCCGACCAAAGAGGAAGTTGGCGGTCAATGGAAGAATGCCAAAGGTCTTGAATGTGCAAAGTATGTTGATCCAAAAATGTAGCATGGGTGTGTCTAGTAGGGCTCAATGAGGAGATAGTCCCATCAGGTAGTACTTCCTGGGGATGAACCAACGTAGTGCGCGGACCCTGCAATGTGCCCATATACACTGTGTCATCACCCTGCTTTACCCAAACTGCAATGCCCGGTCGTTGTTGTACCATTTTGTGATGAATAGGTTTCTCCAAAACAAATGGATTTGATGAACCCAAACCAAGATCCGATTGCAGTTCAAGTGGAAGAGACCAAGGTCCACCAAACTCTAAAATGGATATGGTACGATGTCCAGTAGGTGTGCGTTTCATTGAAGTTTTCTTACCGTTTCGAAGTTTGAAGATGCCTTTGTCCAAGTCAATGGTCGCCCCAACTAGTTCCTGATATGAGATTGGCAAAAGAAATGGCGTTTCAAACGAGTTCTGATCTTCAATGACCGTCACATGCAAAAGACCATTGGTCTTGGCCACGCCCAGTGGTACATCCCAAACTCCGTGAATGCGCGCTGAGCCCCCGATGCCCGAGCAGGAAACCGTGGCACCTGCAGCTGGGACTGCTTGAAGGCCAAAATGAGCTAATGCTTTCTGCAAACGTTCAAACGACCCACTTCCGATCACGGCTTCTTCAGCTGCTGTGTCCGCGACTGCTTCGTGGCTTTCGGTGCGAACTCCGGCATACACGCTAATGGAACTTTCTAATGAGTTGGAAATGTTGACATAGCTGCAAACCCTATGACCGACCACCTGATGACCCACAACTGACGAACCCTTATCTGATACTTTTTCAACTGTCTCAGACACGGCTTTAGAATTCACAGTCATGTAGGTTCGATTGACTGAACCATGCATTCCTTGGGCTACGAAAAACGACTGGGACTCTCGCTTGGGACAATCACGGGACATGTGTCCCAGCTCATTGCACTTGAAACATCGGGTCTTTGCCATGAGCTCATCGGGAGTGCCTCGAGGCTTTCGATTCGACTGATCACGGCCTTTAGCATCCTTTGACTTTCCTTTGGAAAAGTCACGGTTGCCAAAACTTTTACGGCCCTTGCTGGAATTTTTCGGACGGAAAAATTGCTTGCCTTTTCGGCGGGACTGCAACTCTTTGCGAACATCACGGTATGCTGAATTATATGCCCATATATATTTAGTTTCTTCTTCACTATATTCTTTGGTAGGATCAAACATGAGATATGTGAGATTACCTTCTCCATCGGACTCAGGCTCATCATCTTCAAGAAGCTCATCCTCACAAAGGTCATCACCGGGCTCACCATCTTCGACCTCCTCGGCATGGTCATGTGCAGATTGAGGGACATCACCAAGGCTTGTCATGTAAGCCTTATTGACTTTGCCCATCAAAGCTTCGGGTCTGTCGAGTGGACGAAGAGCAGTGGCAATCTGATCAAATGTGAGAAGAGCATCGTACTTGATCGCCAGGTTTTCTCGTTGGGGTTCACTGAGATTTGCACCTCGAAGCAGGATTCGTCCAGCAATTCTTGGTGGACGCTTTTCCCCAAGCTGTGCTTCAACTTCCTGCAATGCCAATTCCTTGGCAGCGATGTAGTTGCTAAAAGTTTCATGTCGTGATCGCTCAGCTCCAAAGAACAAATTGTCTACAGCAGCCGGACCAATAGCTTCTAAGTATGGTCCGTACTTGTTGAGGATTTCTGACAGAATAGTGCCATAGCCATGTTCTGACAAAATAGATGGCATGTCCAACGCTTCTGCCATTTTTCTGGGAGCACTCCCTTCCGCAAAACTTTGAAGCAACTTGATTCCCCATCGCTGTCGTGGAACATGGTTGTCAAGTTCCCAGTACGATAGTTGTCTCAACCATGGTCTCAGCGTCTCAATTGATCCATTCCACGTGGGCATTCCTCTACGGTCACCACTCAAAGCTGCAGTGAGAGCCTTCATGATCAAATCACTCTATTGCTGGGGATTCTGTGGCAATTCACCTGATGATGATGCTTCATTTCCTGTGGCAGGTTTCCCGAAAAACTCAAACGCACTGCCCACTGATCTCATTGGAGGAGGAGCAGTATTAGATTCAAGTTGTTGAAGAAAATTCCCTGCCAGACCAGAGTGACTCAGTCCAGTTGCTCCAGGCTGCATAGAACCGCGGTTGCTCGCCGGAGCGTCTCCGCCTTGAGGTGGACTAAACTGTGGACATCCAGGTGGAAATGCGGCTCCTGCTGGAAAAGATCTCATTGGGCAAAAGGATTTCCAGTCAATGGCATAGACTGTCTATTTCCCGCAACTCCTGGACTTGTCCCCAAAACCCTATGGTTAGTGGATGTTCCGTCAGGACCCGGGAATTGCGGCGTGGTTGATGGATACGTCTGACTCATCCCAACGTTCATGCTTGGCATTTGTTGTTGCTGATATGACTGACCAACATTCTGTAACCCAGGTGCAAATGCCCCCGACGCCATCTGACTTCCAGAGAAGCATCCAAAGGATTGTGGGCTTGAGTTGGTCATCGCCTGATAGTTTCTCCAGGGATCAGCATTGGGATTCATCCAGGGATCCATGGCACGCCCGGAACAGCAAACCTGCTCCGCTACCGCTGATTTCTCAGCAGAAGCAAATCAGGGAAAACAACAAAGAAATGGGCAAACAAAGATCAGTCAAACACCGAAGTCCATCTGAACTCACTCGGTCAATCGCATGTTTTGTCTCGACCCAAGGCGCCTGCGATCAGTGCGTGTCTGTACAACATGCGGCAACATGATCAACAACTGAAGGAAATGTCATGACTCATTGTCAAATGATTCTTGGTTCATCAGCCAGTGTCCACCTTCCAGAGTTTTGGAGTGCAAGAATGATACTCGAATGGTACGGCGGGGGTGCCAACCCAGATGCCACTTGTCAACAGTTCGACAAGATGAGAGAAGACCTTGGAGGCTTGGAGCTTGCTTTCAAGTGCCTTTCGAATGAAACCTTTGAAAATGCACACCTGATGTACATCTGCAGTGAACCATGCCGGGGCTGGTACTCTTGGCACATGAAACATGTGAAGACTGCCCAGGACAATCTGAAGTATCAGCTTCACTTGTCAAGGTCCATCACTTGGCAATGTGAATGGCACTCGCGAGAGCTGGCCCAGTTCTTGAGCCCTCTTGGCTGGTCCAAGTTCGAAAAGCTGATGAATGCTGTTTCGAACCCGGATGGAGTGGCCAAGAAAATCTTCTCCTTTGTCACGCAGCTGCTGGGTCGTCGATGTGCCTCTCTGTCCAGGCACTCCAGCCCACCATATTGCTATGTAGGGCTACTCGGCAATGACATGGCAAGTGCAAGGGCAGCAGGGGACCTCATGATATCGGATCCCACTCCATTGCTACATTTGGAAGTTTCCACAACTGATCAAGAGCAAAACTTAGCAGCTGACTTGCGCTTGACACCTGATGCTTGCTCAAGGTTGGCCAGCATGCTGCTGTTTCATGAGAAATCCAAAGCTCTTTTGAAAGTCTTGCTGGTCACCATTCCCGGCAGCAAATGCATTGAAGACTGCCACACAGGTTGTTAGAGTTGCCCAGAGGAACAGGGGGAATGAACAGGTTACAGTGCTTGCTGTCCAGTACTTGATTGAAACTTCGAAGGTGCTATCTCAAAGGGATTTGCCACATGGCCCCGAAGTGACCTATGATGTATTTCATGGAAGGCTCCGTGGAACGAAACCAATGCCAAACTCTGAGTACTTGGCTTCCAAGCACAAGTTGGACAAGGTTTTTGGAAACATCATAGGCAAGCGGGATTGGGTTGCTCTCAGTGAGCCAGATCTGGCAGCTTCAGCAGCTGGATGGGAATGGTTGCGTTACTATGTGAAGGAAAAGCTGGATGAGTCTGCAGTCATGTTGAAGGACTGGCCCTGGCCTAGTAAGCTTTCAGTCACTTACTTATTACTTCCCTCACTTAAATTTGGAACTTGTATAATTTGCTTTTAATTTCTTGTCAAATGCTCAGATGCTGCACTGCAGGATGGTCTCTTGACTGTTTGTGCTCTGCCAGGCCAAGTGCTCCAGCATTCAAGTGGCACTTGCTTGGTTCTGGGGCAACACAAGTGGTCACTATTGGTTTGGCCTGCAGTGACTTCCGACCCGTCGCTTGGTGGGAATCTTCATGTCTGGCTTGATGCAAGGGGCTCAGCGCAATGGCTTCATGTATGGAATGTACGCAGCCTTTTCTCTTTTGCTTCTACCACTGTTTCTTGGGAAGGGCAAGATGGCATTGTGGTGATCTGCAAGGAAAAAGAGCCACTTCTCAAGAACAGCCTGCGGCAATCATCAGCATTCACTTTCAATGACCTGGTCTTGCTGGCTGCTCATTACAACCATGAAAAGCCGAGGAGTGTTACTCGTAATCAGCTCTTGAAATTTCTTGCTGATGCTGCCAGTGATGGAAATGAAGACTATGTCTCCTTGGTGCTCAATTCCGATGCCAAGTGTCCCCAGAAAGAATCAGAAGAACATGATGAAGAACTTGAAGCACAAGAGCAGCTTCTTGAATCAGTTCTGGACAACATGGATGGGGCTGAGAAGGATCAATTTGAGGGAGTGAGCTTCAAGGTGAAGCCTCGAAAGAAGTTGGCGAAGATTTCTCACTGGAAGAAGTTATACAAAGAGAAATGCCTCGGAGAGGAAGCAGCCCAGCTTGGCTTGGTAATGTTTTTTCCCAGGAACAGCAACTTTTTTTTGGGTGGCAATTAAGTAATTATTCAGCAAAGAAAGCAAGCACGTGCACAAGGTAAGCGATATCGCAAGAAATGCGCAGGCAAAGGCAAAGGCAAAGGAAAGGGAATAGGCAAACAGCCAAAGGAGCTTACCCCAGGCCAAGTGGAGCTGCCAGAGGTCCAAGTGGAGCTGCCAGTGGGTCCAGTGGTTCCCAGAGAGCTTTTCCAGAGCCATCCTGAGGCTGAGGAAGAGAATGCAGCTGAAAGCATAGCTGCTGAAGCACCCAGTGCTTCTTCCCCTGCTGCATGCGTTCCAGTGCCAGCAGAGCAAGAGCCTGCTGAAATACACATGGATCAAGCAGCAGCTGCCAACCTTCAAGAGGAACCTGCAAATGCCACACTTGATGCTCAGCCTGCTGAACCCTTGCCTGCTGAGGAACATTCCGATGCAGTTGTTCCACTTGGTGATGGGCAAAGAAGTCGGCAGGCACAAGAAAAAGCAGGAGGTGGTGGTCTGAAGGTGTACTCAACACCTGCAATCCTTGCAATGCTGGAGACCAATTCATTTTTCAAAATGCGCCTCGAGCACAATGACCATCGGTTTGAGGTGGAGTGCACTACACCGCATGAGGATGCATACATAGAACCTGTAAACTTTTAACAGGAAAACTTTCAGCAGGAGCTTTGCCAATTGTGACTGGAAGGAAGTACTCAAAAAAGTTCACACTTGATGCTGGGAGAAATGGCAGCTGGTGGCTGACAAGTACCCACTGGGTCCAGGGAAAGAGGCCCAGGTGCCGGGCGAAGCCCCAGCTCATGTGATGGAAGCTCTTGAAGAAAAGATGCATTCCATGCCACCTGTTGTTCGCTACCCAAGGGCATAGCCTTCTGACACTTGACTTGAAGCTAAATGTGCTTCTGGAGTCGCTTTTCTCTCTGCTACTTGCAAAATTATGCAAGTGGAATCTGCACATCCCATGATAGGGGTCTGGGAAAAGAATGTTGTCTATCTGACAGATCTGAGTTTCGTCTTATCAGTTGATGAAATTTGCCATTGCTGCTGTTTGACTTTTTGAAAGTGGAGTGTAGTCATGGAGATGCGATGGCGATGGCTTCTCATTGTCCAGCTGGGCTCGAACTATCAGCAGAATTTTCCAAGTGAGTGTCAGTCACATCATGGTCAGCATGACAGCTTACATGATGCACATGCACATTTCACTACCATACACCATTGCTGTCAGATGACATGCTCTTTGTTTTCAAAAGTATTTTTCAATAGTTGCTGTTGCAAAGATGGGCAAGCGGCAGCCTGCCACTTGGCCAGTTGCCATCCTTCCACTTCTTGCTGGTGTCATTCAAGTGTCACTTGCCCCAGTAAGAAGAAGGCAAAGAATGCCAGTACCAAGCCGCCCTTGAGCTCAACAATGGCCACCACCAGTGTCCCGCACTTGCCCTTTGTACCCAAGTTCAAGTCCGACTGCATTGAGCCTTCCCTTGTCAGATCGGAGGAACAACAGCATGAATGCCAAAAGGATGGAAAGGTGTTGGAGGATCTCTTTGACAAGATTTCAAACTACTCGGTATTCGATTTCTTGCCCTTTGCATCCTTTGAGAGGCAATAGGTTGTGTTGGAATCGCAGACAAATACTTGAAGATGTTTTTCAATTTTCTACATGTTTTGGGCCATCTGAACTGAAACCCTACCAGGTGTTTGCAGCATGCGCTTATGGCCAGAGCTTCTCAGATCATCACTGATTTCTTGGCATTTGATGCAGAGAACTTTGGTGGAATGGCTGACTCTTGGACGTCCATTCTGAAGATTGCCTACCCTCATCTTGCGCAATTGCACTTGTCAGACATCCTTCTTGCTTTTGTTGATCGGGCATACATGAACCGGGTGACTTTCCAGTGTGTTGGCCTGCTTGATTTTATTGAGTTCTATGGTGGGGTTGGCAACTTGTCCAGGGAGCTTCTCTTGCGACACTTGCATGGTGCCATCTTCGACACAATGTACCGCCCAGTGGATCACGACTGCTTGGGTCAAGGATTCAGGTTGTAGCTTGATGCGTGTAGCACTTGCGAGGGAGCACTTGTTTTTGGCTGGGCACACAGTGCAGTTCTTTTGTTGCACTGCGTGCCAGTCTAAAGCAAGCGATGCCTGGAGAACCAGTGGGTGGGGGATAATGGGCGAGAGTTTGTTCAGGTTGGCAATTGCCATATGATCATTACTGCTCTTGTCTACTTCCTTGCCACTTTGCTCCAATGTGCCACTTGCTTGGAACAAGACGGCCTGCCCCTTGATGGCCAGTGTCCTCACCTTCTGCAATGCAATCAAGGTGAACACACACTTGGGCTCATTTGGGGCAGAGACGCCAAAACCATTGCAAATATGGACCACTTGCCGAGAGCTTCAAGACCTATGGAGGCCAAAGCCCATGAATCTGCCTGGTACCCTTGTTTCAAAAGGGCCGGCCAAATGGAGCATTCACTGGATTGAAGGAGCCCTTGGCAGCATCTGGCATTTACACCCGTGCATTTGGAGCTGAAGTAGCTGATCTGTTTCTGTCCTCTTACAGGCGCCAGTAAGCTGAATTTGCCAAGCAAATTCATGCATATCCACTCGTTTCTTGGTGAGTGGACTTGCCACCAAATTGTTTGCTTGCTTGCTTGCACTTGTAAAATCAAGTGTAGCCAGATCAAAAGTTCCCGAAGTTGAAAAAGAGTGTGGTGGAATGCCATGCATGGTTCCAATGATGAAGAGTTTGGTTATTTTTGAGCATTGCAACACTGCTGGAATACTTAGTTGCTTTTGCTTGAAATTATTCTCCTGACTGACTGAGGTCTGGTATGTGCAAACTTTCTGCCCTGGGCACTGGATCACTGGAATGCTTTCCCTGCACTTGGCACTTGATCACTTGATAATTTCAAACTCTTTTGTCTATCCCAAATTTTCTCAAATGTTTCAAACAACATCAAGGCAATACTGAAGCTCTTACAAAGATTTTTCCTATGTAAAAAAATGATCTAGACCCTACTGATCTAGGGCTGGTCTTTGCTTCCTTGAGATGATGATGATGATGATGATGATGATGATGACGGCCATGACACTGATGATGACGATGATGGCGATGATGGTGATGATGATAATGATGATGATGATGATGATGATGAAGAGGAGGATGACGATGACGGTAATCATGATGATGATTATGAGGATGATGATGACGATGACGATGGCGATGACGATGACCATGACAATGACGATGATGATGATGATGATGATGATGAATCTGATGATGAAGAATCTGATGATGACGCAGAAGAAGAAGATAATGATGATTATGCTGATGATGATGAAGAATTCAGAGGAGGATGCTGATGATCATGACCATGATGACGATGAGGATGAGGATGACGATGACAACGACGACGACGACGACGACGACGACGTTGATGATGATGATGATGATGATGATGATGATAAGGAAGAAGAAGAAGAAGAAGAAGAAGAAGAAGAAGAAGAAGACAAGTTAAAAGGCATTAAAAGACTGCAGCGCTGTAGCGCTACCTGTGTCTGATTAATGATTTACATAGTGCCCACTGCCGGATACTGTGATTCATATCTATCTCCCTCGCTCTGTGCAAGCACCGTATATAGAGGATAGGCTGGCGCAACAATAGCTGTGGGTTCTCCCTGCATGCTGGCACAGCAATGTTCAGCCAAAAGCAACAGGGATTGATTCACTTGATTGACGGAATGGCTGAATTTTGTCTGTGCAACGGATATGATATCATAGCAAATTGATTGGGTCCTAAATGGGTTCCCAAAAGGCAAACTTTGTCCTACGTTTGATAAACTTGAATATACATCCGCAGGGGTGCTTGGCAACTGCATCCATGGCTCGCTACATCTCTTGCAAGAACTGTCTGCTCCAACTTGGCGATTTTGTCGGTCAGCTCCCCTGTGGCAACAAGAATTGCATAATGCCCATGGAGAGTGAGAGGCCGAGGCTTGCCAAGGGAAGCACCAACATTTTGGTGCCTGGACCTATTTGAGTAGGGTCCGGACCTAAAGAACAAGGTTTACAAATGGCGGGGCACCATTTGATTTTCTGGGAAATAAAAAAAAACAATCTTCCGACCGTAGCTAGAGAGTAGTCATGCGCAGTCTGCGTGCTACGGTGCAAAGACTTCTGCTCCCCTCAATTATTTCTGTCTACAAATCGCTCACCAACGGAAAGATACAAAAAGGGATCCCCCTTGCACAAATAGCTTTCAGAAATTTGGGTATCCCAGTAGATGACCCCAAAACCCTCGATGATAGATCTTTAAAAGCGCCCAGTACACTTAAACAGGTGTGTGAAAAATAACCCTCTACAAAAAAGTCACCGCCATGGTTCCTGAAAGAAATGCGGTAAACAAACTAAAAATAATGGTGTAGAAGGATGTAATTAGGTTTGTGGTTAATTGATGTTAGTTGGGTGGAGATGCTGGTTACAGAAATTCGTTTCCTGGAACTTGGTTGGGCGAAAGAATGCCAGAAACCTGGCGTTTGATTGTACAATCGGAAATTGCATTTTCCCACTTGCTTCTTTTACCCCAGGCCCAAGTGGCTGGTTGCTTTCCTTTTCCCTTTCCGTCACATGCATCATTGGCAGGGCACGCGTGCAATGTCCTACTCTTGGGAGCCCCTGAGGTCTGGAAATCACCCACCAGCATCCACCATCTGCATCTGAATCTGTGAAATTCTAGATCGACTTTGTGAAAGGTCATGTTGGTGCAAAACAGAAACACAAGAAATTCTGATGAACATGGATTCACGGTTCACGCCAAAATTTCAAACATCCCGAACGGCCCAAAGGTCTAGATAGTTAGTTATATATACATTTGTTTTTTCCCTCAGGGCCTACCCCCAAAGACAAATAGCGAGCACTCTAGGTCTTAGCCCTGGGGCCTACCTAGAGCCTAAATAGCTGACATTGACATTAAATTTATAGAAGAAATTATAGTAGCGGACCGAAACATAGAATGACCTTTTGGAAACCGCCGGGGGTATCCGAAAAATTGCCGTATTGACGCGCGGGGCCAAAATCCCCAGTTTTTGAACTTTTTTTTCGTTTGGAGAACTTCGAATGAGTAACTGACATGTTACGAAACACCGCGCCTGTCAGTCAAAACAGGTCTGGGACACGGAACATAGAATGGGTTTTCGCGCACAGCTGACGCACAGCTGATTTTCAAAAACAATTTGCCCAAAATAGCAAAAGTACGTGTCATTCCAAGTTTGGCTCCCAAGTGCTGTTTTTTTGTGGAAGGTAGTCCAAAATCCTTCGAACATGTTTTTTTTGAACATCTTCTATCCTTTTTTTTTATTTGTTATTCATTTCCACGCATTTTTCCAGCCGTTTTTTCATCCATTCTTCATCCATTCTTCATCCATTCTGCACCAATTTCCAGCCATATTCATCCATTGTCATCTGTTCTTCATCCATGCTTCATCCATAATCTCTATCCACTTCCCACCCATTATTCGTTGTTTTCCCCCATCAAGTTTAATTCTGTTTAATTCCTGCTCATCCATTCTTATATAATCATTTCACGCATGCTCTATATTTCCATTTCCGTCCAGTTTCCATCCATTTTTCATCCTTTTTTCTTTTCTGCATCAATGTTTATCCGATTTCATCCACTGTTATCCATTCTTCATCCATATTTCATCCATTCTTTTTCCATTTCCATCCAATTTTCATTTTTCATCATCGGTGTTCATCATTTTTAATTTTCTCTTGTTTTGCTTTCCTCCATTTATAATCCAATAATTTTGACTTCTTCTATTTCTGAATCATTCGTTACAGCGCACTTTCATGTAACAAACCTAGGCGCCCCTTTGAGCTCCATACACCCCTGTGATAATAGTTAGTCAGCGTCTTCAAAAATTTTCCAAATTTCAGCCGACATGATACGCTTTTGAGTATATAAAATAACGAGCACCTTTCATTATTTCGAATCCTATATAAACAACATCAGTAATAATCAATCTCACTTATCTGCGCTTTCATATGTATTAAACTAAACAATAACCAACAACCAACATGCTACGTGCAAACAGTATGTGGTTTCGAACCTAAATATAATATATATATATATAGATAGATAAATAGGTAGGCAGACAGACAGGTCAATAGGTTGGGGAGGGTCTGAACTTAGAATGACTGCAGGTGATTGCAGGTACATATATAAATATAAAAAATAAATACATATATATATATATACATATAGATAAATAGGTAGGTAGACAGTAGGTCAATAGGTTGGGGAGGGTCTGGACTTAAAATGACTGCAGTTGATTGCAGGTGAATATATATATATATATATAAATAAAAATACATGCGTACATACATATAAATATATATATATATATATATAAATATACATACACATATAGATAAATAGGTAGGCAGACAGTAGGTCAATAGGTTGGGGAGGGTCTGGGCTTAAAATGACTGCAAGTGATTGCAGGTACCTATAAAAATATAAATATATACATACATATTTAAATATATACATACATCTTTAAATATATACATACATATAGAAAAATAGGTAGGTAGACAGTAGGTCAATAGGTTGGGGAGGGTCTGAACTTAGAATGACTGCAGGTGATTGCAGGTACATATATAAATATAAAAAATAAATACATATATATATATATACATATAGATAAATAGGTAGGTAGACAGTAGGTCAATAGGTTGGGGAGGGTCTGGACTTAAAATGACTGCAGTTGATTGCAGGTGAATATATAGTGGGCCCCTGGCACTTAGAATTCGCAAATCATGGTGACTATCACTTAGAATTGTGTCTCGGTGATACCTGGGGAGTGCACTTAGAATTGCCCGCAGTGATGTCAAAATAATGCACTTAGAATTAGAAGGCCATGTCATAGCCAAGCACTTAGAATTGTATCAACTCCTGGTGGTACCCACAAATCATCAATTTTTTCAATGATTTTCCACTGTAAACGATCCATTTTGGGGTACCCCTCATTTATACATATTATTGGTTCCGCCTAGCTCAGTGCTTCCCCTGTCGGTGTTTCTGTTGATGGACTGCTGGTGCAGATTCATGTGGAGGTGCCTGCTCTGGCAGGTCTGGATGCTGTTTCTGCAATTCTATGTGCTGCTTGTCTTGTTCCTGTGCATTTAAATTGCAGTTGGTGCCGGTTCCTGCTTGGGTGTCGTTCGGGCCGTGGGGTATGAGCAGCATCTGCTGTTGCTTCTGCTGTTCTTTCTGCTGTTTTTTCTGTTAAGGGCTGCTGATGCAATTTCATGTGGAGGTGCTTCCTCTGCCATTTGTGGATGCTGTTTCTGCAATCCTATGTGCTGCTTGTCTTGCTCCTGCGCATTTAAGTTGCAGTTGGTGCCGGTTCCTGTTTTGGGTTTCGTTCGGGCCGTGGGGTGTGAGCAGCATCTGCTGTTGCGTCTTGTTTTGCTTCTGCTGCTGTTTCTGCTGGAGGGCTGCTGACAATTTTTTCATGTGGAGGCGCCTGCTCTGCCAGTTCTGGCTGCTGCTTCTGCAATTCTATGTGCTGCTTGTCTTGTTCCTGCGCATTGAAATTGCAGTTGGTGCCGGTTCCTGCTTTTGGTTTGGTTCGGGCTCTGGAGCATGAGCAGCATCTGCTGTTCCGTCTGCTGCTGCTTCTGCTGCTGTTTCTGTTGAAGGGCTGCTGATGCAATTTCATGTGGAGGTGCCTGCTCTGGCAGGTCTAGATGCTGTTTCTTCAAGGAAAATTTCAGGATCCTAAAAGCGAGGTTCTGTGCCATATAAGCACTTTTTGTCGGCTACATAAGCCGCACATATACCTTACATAAGAAGTTATATAAGGCCTATGTAAGGCCTATGTATTTGAATACAAGTTTTGCTCGAAAACTATGTCTCAACCTCTGCAAAAACCACAAAAAAAAACAATCTTTAATGGATATACTTATATATGTTTTAATATATATATATATCCCTATTTGACACCTTGGTTCATATTCCGTTCTTATTGGTTTTTGACGAATACACATGCAGATTTGTGGCAATAGCACTCGCTGCAACTGCAGTGTTGTTGCAAGCTGTTCCCATGCTGCAAGTCCCCGATCTTTTTTCTTGGTCTCGCTGCGTGTTTGGCTGCGCAAGATTGGGGAAGGGTCTGAGGTGGTATTTGGAAACTTGTTTTTTGAGAGTCCTTGTCCTTGTAAGGGAAATAACTGGCGAGCATGGCAGCCCTACAAAGGCCTTACAAAGGCCTTACATAAGCCTTACATAGACCTTACATAGCCCAAAACCATCATTTTTCACCAGTTTTTGATACTTTTTAAACAGGAAGCAAGACAGAGGCCTTATATAGGCCTTATATAGGCCTTACATAGGCCTTACATAGCCAAAAACTAGCATTTTCACCCGTTTTTGATACTTTTCAATGGGATATTTCACCAATACCATAGGCCTTACAAAGGCCTTACATAGGCCTTACATAGACCTTACATAAGCCTTACATAGGCCTTACATAGGCCTTACATAGCCAAAAACTAGCATTTTTCACCAGTTTTTGATACTTTTCATTGGGATACTTCACCAATACCTATGTAAAGCAATACATAAGCCAGTTGCCGACTTCTATCGGCAGGAACATAGCAGGAACATTCCGGCAATGTTCCAAAAGATGGCCAAAGACCCTATCACCCGCCAGGCGGTCTTCCCAACTTCCATCATCAGAGGGCACATCAGCCATGGCAATCTGTTTCGTGCGATGCTTTGACCCCAAATTTGTCCCTGCAGATACATACCTGTAGATTTAGCAAATATGGGTGCCCCAAATCACTGTAGGAAACCCCAGCTTCACCAACTCTGCCTGCACCGGTCGCCTCTGAATTTGAAATCAGATCACAAATATCCCACTAGTAATGGAAGGAGTGGACATTACTTACATGAAGCACCCTTGGTCAATGTAAGAGAAACATATTTGGGGTAGGAAGACTGGCAACTAGGATCCTAATGTTTAGGTTCCTGCAAGGGCCGTTGATTTCTGCAATTCTATGTGCTGCTTGCCTTGTTCCTGTGCATTTAAATTGCAGTTGGTGCCGGTTCCTGCTTTGGGTTCGGTGCGGGCTCTGGGGTATGAGCAGCATCTGCTGTTGCTTCTGCTGTTCTTGCAGCTGTTTTTTCTGTTAAGGGCTGCTGATGCAATTTCATGTGGAGGTGCTTGCTCTGCCATTTGTGGATGCTGCTTCTGCAATTCTATGTGCTGCTTGTCTTGCTCCTGCGCATTTAAGTTGCAGTTGGTGACAGTTCCTGCTTTGGGTTTCGTTCGGGCCGTGGGGTGTGAGCAGCATCTGCTGTTGCTGCTCTGGCAGGTGTTCTGCAATGTGCAGCTGTTTTTTCTGTTAAGGGCTGCTGATGCAATTTCATGTGGAGGTGCTTGCTCTGCCATTTGTGGATGCTGCTTCTGCAATTCTATGTGCTGCTTGTCTTGCTCCTGCGCATTTAAGTTGCAGTTGGTGCCAGTTCCTGCTTTGGGTTTCGTTCGGGCCGTGGGGTGTGAGCAGCATCTGCTGTTCCTTCTGTTGGTGTTTCTGTTGAGGGGCTGCTGGTGCAGATTCATGTGGAGGTGCCTGCTCTGGCAGTCTGGATGCTGTTTCTGCAATTCTATGTGCTGCTTGTCTTGTTCCTGCACA